GTGTCAAATATAAAGAAACAGGTTATTGCACAGGGTATTTACATAGATTCGTTTTTATATATATACTTAGCTACTGCACTGAGTGTCAAAACAGAAACAGGTTATTGCACAGGGCATTGGGCTGTTTAAAGCTTTCAATAGTCCCCCACCCTCGGCCTGCTCTGAGCGGCAGAAAATCGCTCCAGAAGTTTCTGTTTCAGCTCCTGTACGTCCATGTACCTCAGTAAACATGCCTGCCAGCCTGTCCAATAGTTTTGAACGCATCTTTATAGTGGCGGATAGCTAGCTAGGGGTTGTTAGACGATGCTTGGTCGGCCTCTTCCGGGTTCAGGGCTAATTCGGCTTATTCTAGCAACTTCATGAGATTTAAAAACCAGGTCCGGTTTAAATGTCATTATGTTTAAAGCTTAAAAAAATATATTCCAATTTCAGCTGTTTTCATTAGCTAAACGGCGTAGTTTGACGTTTAACCCGATTTGTAACTTATTATAAAACGCAAATAAAACTTTAAATTGAAAATGACATAGCCCGTTAGCTAACCACTGAACTCTACAGATATGAATGGGAAGCTAACTTTAGGGATGTGGCTCCATCATGGTAAAAGTCCAGCAGCCTCGCGCACGATGACCCAGCAGGTTCGATGTGAGGGAAGCGGAGGCTAAATGTTTTTGGTTAAAAATCATCAATGGCTCCACGTAAATATAATTTTAATTTCCTTAAACTCGCTTTAAACTGACGGGCCTTGAAAACACGTTTAGCTCGGGAAGTAAAGGGGGGCTGTAGAAGAAGCGCGCGGTGACACGTTTCTGTGCTATTTTGCGTTACATTTACACCTAAAACTATGAAATACATGTAAGTTTTACATGTGAAACAAAGGTAAACAAAAACAAAAGCAAATACTTACCAAATTCTCCACTACACGGACCATGATAGCGTTCTTTGGATGCGTGCCAAGATAACGGCAGCTAGCTTTAGGTTGTGTGGAAAAAAATACCTTAGTTTCAGCGAACGCGCCCAGCGGCTTTTAAAGACTCGGTCAAGCTAGAGTGAACCGCAGCCGGATCCAAGTTTCCGGCATGTAGCAAATAAAAGCTTCTGATTTAAGAAGCTTACTCCCCACCCTTCCCTGGGATGAAACCAAATTGCATATTTTACAGAGATTCTTATTTCTTAAATTCATCTATTTTGGATTATATCTATATGTTTTAATTTACACATTTAATCTTATTACGACCACTTTTATTTTGAAAACTACTATCGCGACGCATTAAAATGACTTGATTTATTTTCCCCATTCATTACTTAAGAGCATCCAGCGACAGTTAAAACTGTCAAAATTATTTAATTTGTATACATTCTTCTTCACATTTCCTGATTAGGAGCCACGGGTATTATATATATACTGTATTTGATTATGTATAAAGTGAAACCGGAGTCAATTTCCGGAGATGGCGTGCAAAGAGCTGAAACGGCACTAGTTCTGCTCCTTTTCAATTTACCGGTACAAGGTTTGGCTGCTAGTTAGAGAACGTTTAGCGGGAGAAGAAAGTACACACTCAAAATGAAACAATCAAATGCAACACACAAATAAACATTAGTTAAAACTCCACTATCATATTTCAACAGATATGTCGACTTTTTTGTTTTATAACTCGCAGCTCGGTGCGATGGTTCTGCTGTTTCCAGTTCCCCTCCACTCAATCCCTTTTCCTATTCAGGCCAAAAATGGGGCGGATCCTTTGTTACAAGTCAGAATGACTGGACATTTCTGGGTTTATGGTAAATGATTACTCACCGCAGTTACACGGTTACTACGACGGAGTATTAGGGCCATACATGAAGAGAAAAAATATTTTTGCCATGACGAGATTAAACTCGACATGTCGACTTTAAAGTCGACATGTCGACATTAAACTCAACATTTTGAGAATAAAGTTAAAATGTCATGTTGAGTTTAATCTCGCCCTGTCGACTTTAAACTCGCCATTTCGAGAATAAAGTTGAAATGTCATGTTGAGTTTAATCTCGACGTGTCGACAATAAAGTTTAAATTAGTTCAAGAGAGCCAACCGCTGCACAGGATACATGCACAGAATCCTATACAGTTGCAGCACATGAAAGACTACCTTCACTCTTAAAACGCAGACTGCAGCTGTGGAGCGCGGTTGCTCTTTTCTCCAAACTTTGGAATGTCGAGATTAAAGTCGCCACGATATATCAACTTTATTCTCGAAATGGCGAGTTTAAAGTCGACACGTCGAGATTAAACTCAACATGACATTTCAACTTTATTCTCAAAATGTTGAGTTTAATGTCGACTTTAAAGTCGACATGTCGAGTTTAATCTCGTCATGGCAAAAATATTTTTTCTCTTCATGTGTGGCCCTAATACTCCGTCGTACATTTCCTCTCATACGACGGAGTATTAGGGCCATACATGAAGAGAAAAAATATTGAGTTTAATCAATGTTGAGTTTAATCTCGACATGTCGACTTTAAAGTCGACATGTCGAGTTTAATCTCGTCATGTTGAGTTTAATCTCGCCCTGTCGACTTTAAACTCGCCATTTCGAGAATAAAGTTGAAATGTCATGTTGAGTTTAATCTCGACGTGTCGACAATAAAGTTTAAATTAGTTCAAGAGAGCCAACCGCTGCACAGGATACATGCACAGAATCCTATACAGTTGCAGCACATGAAAGACTACCTTCACTCTTAAAACGCAGACTGCAGCTGTGGAGCGCGGTTGCTCTTTTCTCCAAACTTTGGAATGTCGAGATTAAAGTCGCCACGATATATCAACTTTATTCTCGAAATGGCGAGTTTAAAGTCGACACGTCGAGATTAAACTCAACATGACATTTCAACTTTATTCTCAAAATGTTGATCTCGTCATGGCAAAAATATTTTTTCTCTTCATGTGTGGCCCTAATACTCCGTCGTACTCTCACGTTCTCTTAAGTTTTACAGAAAAAAAAAAACAGGAAATAAAACAGAATAACATATTTATAGTAAATAAAAAGATACATTTTATTGTTCTTTTTAAACAATGTTCAGAATCAGAATCAAGTTTATTGCCAAGTAGGTTTGCACTTACAAGGAATTTGACTTGGTGTTGTTGGTGCAGACAAAGGAATACAACGAGCTTTACTTAAATTCCAATAATTTACAACAACAAAGAACTATAATTGGGGGGTGAGGTTTGAAGAGTCCTTTTCCTGAACTATTTAAAAGTCCTGAAAGATCACTGGGAAGATCAACCAAGATCCTCTCTGCAGAGATGTCAAAAACTCTCATGTAACATAACAGTTAAATGTACAGGTTCTAAATTGTACATGAGTAAATTTATTTTTGCCTTAAATGATAAAATGTATTTAAATATATATATATATATATATATATATATATATATATATATATATATATATATATATATATATATATATATATATATATATATATATATATATATATATATATATATATATATATATATATATATATATATGTATGTATGTATATGTACAAAAAAAAAAAAACATGCACAGAAAACAGATAAATGTCCCCCTCTGCTGACTGTGTTGGCAGGGAGAATCTAAGAAAAAAACTAACCTGATCTAATTTAGCTCTAAATTAAAGCATCAGACAGGATGCTTTAATTTATGAGCAGTTAAATACCTATAGAGCTCTGGTATTCACAGAATTAAATTTTAAATAGAACTTGAAACAAATAGTTAAATCTAATAAAAGAGGAATGTAGAGAGAAGGTCTTGCATCTCAGAATCTGATCAATCATGTGGAGCGTTTCCCATCCCCTCCATCTTCATCCATGTTTCTTAAATGGACAGATTTCCTTTGCACTCAGATACTGAATAAAAGCAAGTATAATTAAATCCACTTCAGCGTCTCTGATCTGTTGCATGGGGAAATTCAAAAACCTTTATCCTATTTTGGTGATTCTGTTCATTTGTGGCTTGAGAGATATGCTTTAGGTCATATTACACAACATTTCTCTTTATCTTCAGCTTTTTAGCAGGTTGTGTGTCAACACTGATACTTGAGAGTTCTTGATACTTGACTAAAGCCTGAAATCCATCTGAAGATAAGCAGTCACAAAGCATAGCTCAATATTTACATGTGTTTTTTCTTGTTTTGTTTTTTTTTTCTGTCCAACATACATTTTGGAATTAAGGTCAGAAAGCCAAAGTACAGTCTCAAAACAAGTTTTCTGAAATGTTTAACACATTTCCTGCCGTTTTTGGCGAATTTTTTTCAAACTCTGACTGAAGATGGATTTTTCTCTTTCCGATAAAAAAATAAAAAATAAAATCCCCCACAATCGTCTTACCTTGGGATTATAAATAATTGTAAATAATTATAATTGTAAACTGAACACACAATTTCCCAGGAATTAATAGTAGGTAATGCCTCTTGCAGTTTTATTTACTAATTTTCTATTATTTTCTTAATCTTGGGAGGGACCTTCAGTTCTCTGTATTGTCACAATTGTTCTTTTTTTCCCCCATTGTGTTAACAATTCCAAAGTCTTTAAATCATTTTAACTCTCTTGCTGGCTGAATCAGGGCCTCTCTGTTGAACAGTTTCTGGTCAAAAAAGGTAAAAAAAAAAAAATATATACTATTAATAAATATTTATGTTTTATTTCTAACCCTCAAACCCTCTTAAAAAAAAAAAGCTTTGTTTGAGTCGAGTTCTACAATTAAGGGTAAAATAATGTAACTTTTTGTTACATCACAAAATCAGGCACTTTAACGAGGATGTGCAGACAGGAATATTTTTCATAAGGTTTAAAACTGTATAATAACCATCGTCTGAATCATAAAGTACATTACACGATTCAAAGAGGCACAAAGAATTAGATTAGATGAGCTTTATTGATCTCACAACGGAGAAATTCACATATTGGCATCCTTTATTTGTCATACAAATTCAAGCAGTAAATATTAAAGAGGCACATAAACTGCATAAAATGCACTAATACACTTCAGATTAAGACACATTAAGATACATTCTCTATCTAGCTGACGATTGAGGACTTTTAGTGCTGTTCAATACAACATTAGTGCATATCATTTATTACATAATACTTGGCGTTTATTTGTAATCTATATGTAAAAGATAGAAAGGGACATTTGGAAACATTGTAGAGTAAGGCCTTCAGCAAAGTATTCATACCACACTGGTTTACATTTTTACACCCATGACTTCAGACCTGGGTGGAGGTTCACTCCTCTAGCAATTGGCCTAAAATGTACAGCAGGAACTTCAGTGGAAGAATTCATAGAATATGCAAGAATTAGATCGACCCGGTCAATGCCCAGAGATCAACGTTCACAGATTATCTCCATCCAATCTGATAATTCTTTGCCTATTTTTCAATGTATAATAGGGAAGATTTTGCATCTCTAGATGTGCAAAACAGGTTGAAATGTTTCTTTTAACTTGCACCTATAACTCCAATAAAAGACGGTCAAACAAAGTCCTGTTTTAGACATTTAGTGGTAAAGAACTGCAGGAACCACAGAAAAGATTTTTGGTGTCTGTTAAATTAACCTAGCCTTACTGCCATTCTACTGTAGCCATGTCATGCATCAAAGAAACAAATACAGCTAGCTGGCAGCTAAAAGGGCAGGATGCTAAGGAGCTAGATTTCTAAACAGGACGTCCCAGTCGACTGCATTAAATGGTTAAGAGAGACAAAGCCAGAAAAACAACAAAGGAAAGTGAGAGGATGTGTATATGGGTGGGGCCAGTTGAAACACCATCAGTAGCCCTGAGTCATGTTTTCATATCATCAGGTTGGTATTGTAAGAAAGAGTAACCTCTGTATGAATGTTTTATAGGGCACACCTCCGGGAAGGAAGCTCCTGTTACACTAGACACTACTTGACTCTAGATTTTAGCAGACCTTCCTTTAAGCTATCGGTTAGCCACTTCAGTGCACTGTCAGATTTAGAAATAAATCAAAATACATTTTTGATCTTTTAGCCAAACTGAAGTTCTCAGCTCTTATCCTACATCTAATCTACATTGTTAGTCGTGAAACATTCAAATCTTCTCCACATTTTACCTTGATTCTTCTTACACAATACCCCTCCTACATGTAGAAATTCCTTAACACCACCTCACACAGCAACTACAGCCTTGCCAATGTTTTCTCCCTTCAGCAGGCCCATAAATGCAGCTGGCATGTTCTCAAAGCCCTTTGTGATGTGCTCTCTGCACTTAATTTTCCCCTGTAGAGGTAAAATAAATATATTAATTTAATGGCACCAATGCAGGAGGACATGATGTTTTAAAAGCTAATCCTAAACGTACCTCTTTTAGCCAGGCCATCAGTCTTTTTAGGCTTTCGAGGTTTTTGTGTTCCCACCTGTTAACCATGAAACCCTCCATTTTCAGCTCCTTGAAGATCATTGTCAGGTGTGGGTACGGTCCTGAGAAATATTCCAGTTAAATCCAACCTGCCTATATCACCGTCTCAGGCGCTATAGATGAATGATTTTTAACATACGTACCTGTCTGAGGAGTCGCATCATTGTACGTGGAGATACTCCCACACACAGCTATTCTTCCAAAGCTCTTCATCTGCTGTAGAGCGACGGTTGAAAAATGCCCTCCAACCTAATAAGAGATAAAAAAAAAAAAGTTGCAAAACAAAGTGGAATAAATGACCAACAAGTAAACTGCACAGGCTTCACTTACATTGTCGAAGAAGCAGTCGTATCCCTCAGGAGCCGCCTTCTTCAGAGCCTCCTCCAGGGAAGGAACCGTTTTGTAGTTGAAAGCCTCATCAAACCCCAACTCTTTCAGGTAAGCTACTTTGACGTCCGTCCCGGCCGTACCCACCACCTTACAGCCCTTGATCTTGGCGATCTGTCCCACCACATTTCCCACCGCTCCGGCCGAAGCGTTCACCAGCAGGGTCTCGTTCTCCTGCAGCCCAAGGACCTCCTCTATTCCATACAGAGCCGTCAGTCTGAAGGTAATAACAAATAATACAAAACGGCATCACAGAATCTTCATTAAATCAACTCATTATGCACAGAAAATTACATTTTAACCCTTTGTTTTCTAATTATTTAGTTAATTATGCCTTTAAATTAAAGGTTTTAAAGGCGGCTCAAAGTGATGTTGCCTGTTATTTTTCAGAGCATGTTTTAACTCTACATATCCAGAACCAAACATGGAGAAACAGCATCTAGTTCTTATGCTCAACTTATCTGGAAACAAACTACCAGAAAACTGTAAAAAGCAAAGAAACCCTGAACTGCTTTAAATCCAGATTAAAAACCTATTTTTCAGGGTGGCCTTCGACTGCGCTATGAAAACATTATTAGCTCAAGTTTTATTCATTTTTTATAAATTCATCTCCAATTATTCATATTTGTTGATTATTTATTTACATCTATTCCACAACAACAAACCGTTTCCCTGGGTTTTTTCGTGCTATCTTTTTTCATGTACAGAACTTTTAATTGTCCCACTACTGAAATGCTCTATATACGCTCACCGGCCACTTTATTAGGTACCATGCTAGTAACGGGTTGGACCCCCTTTTGCCTTCAGAACTGCCTCAATTCTTGGTGGCATAGATTCAACAAGGTGCTGGAAGCATTCCTCAGGGAGTTTGGTCCATATTGACATGATGGCATCACACAGTTGCCGCAGATTTGTCGGCTGCACATCCATGATGCGAATCTCCCGTTCCACCACATCCCAAAGATGCTCTATTGGATTGAGATCTGGTGACTGTGGAGGCCATTTGAGTACAGTGAACTCATTGTCATGTTCAAGAAACCAGTCTGAGACGATTCCAGCTTTATGACATGGCGCATTATCCTGCTGAAAGTAGCCATCAGAAGTTGGGTACATTGTGGTCATAAAGGGATGGACATGGTCAGCAACAATACTCAGGTAGGCTGTGGCGTTGCAACGATGCTCAATTGGTACCAAGGGACCCAAAGAGTGCCAAGAAAATATTCCCCACACCATGACACCACCACCACCAGCCTGAACCGTTGATAGAAGGCAGGATGGATCCATGCTTTCATGTTGTAGACACCAAATTCTGACCCTACCATCCGAACGTTGCAGCAGAAATCGAGACTCATCAGACCAGGCAACGTTTTTCCAATCTTCTATTGTCCAATTTCGATGAGCTTGTGCAAACTGTAGCCTCAGTTTCCTGTTCTTAGCTGAAAGGAGTGGCACCCGGTGTGGTCTTCTGCTGCTGTAGCCCATCTGCCTCAAAGTTCGACGTACTGTGCGTTCAGAGATGCTCTTCTGCCCACCTTGGTTGTAACGGGTGGTTATTTGAGTCACTGTTGCCCTTCTATCAGCTCAAACCAGTCTGGCCATTCTCCGCTGACCTCTGGCATCAACAAGGCATTTCCGCCCACAGAACTGCCGCTCACTGGATGTTTTTTCTTTTTCGGACCATTCTCTGTAAACCCTAGAGATGGTTGTGCGTGAAAATCCCAGTAGATCAGCGGTTTCTGAAATACTCAGACCAGCCCTTCTGGCACCAACAATCATGCCACGTTCTAAGTCACTCAAATCACCTTTCTTCCCCATACTGATGCTCGGTTTGAACTGCAGGAGATTGTCTTGACCATGTCTACATGCCTAAATGCACTGAGTTGCCGCCATGTGATTGGCTGCTTAGAAATTATGTGTTAACGAGCAGTTGGACGGGTGTACCTAATAAAGTGGCCGGTGAGTGTAAATCAACCTGTTTTAAAGCCAATAAGAATGAAGTGTTTTGCTTCTTTTTTTTTTTATCTGAATATCACAGAAACATAAAGCGCGTTTGAATCCAGAAGCATGGAGAACACTGCAGATTGCTGCAGTTCTTCAGCTGACATCCACTGTTGTACCTTAACTAGGAGGATAAATGCAAAAGTGTTTTAGCTAAAGTAGTTGACAGCTTACAAAGAGCTGTATCTAACCAAATCAATGGAAAGTTGAGCGGAGGGAAAAGTTTCTTCCATGCAACACTTCTCTAAAACAATCATTAATGCAAAAGAAGCTCCCAATTAAGTAATCATTCGAATCATAATACAGTCCTACGACATAGGTTTCAATATCTATTTAAAAAATTGTATTTATCTCATATTAAATCCTAATTTTCTAAAAAATAGAAATAAAATATATTAAGTCAGTCTGTGCTTAAATATCACAAACTATAAACATATATTTTAGCATTTCGTTCATATATTCAAGCTATTCTGATTTATTGACATGGATCTATATAACTCTAAAGTGTTACTTTAAACCCCTGAACATTTATTTTTTTATTTGAACAATTCTTCTCTGGTATCCAGAGTTTTAATAAAGCAGGAAAACATCCAATTTGATAAAATGTTGGTGAATTTCTTACAGAGTATGACCTGTGATGGATACAAAAAAATAAACTTAACAAAGTGGACATTTCTTTCTGATTTAGATTCATTTCCAAGATACAAATCTTCTAAAAATGTTGTGCATCATCAAACATCACACACAATAAAGTATATTGAATGCATCTTTCTTAAATAATTAGCCAATAATAATAATATGCTGACAGATTTTGTGAAAATTGTCATTTAGCAGCCTGACTTACCCTGGCATCCCGACGTTACCCAAAGCCAGCGACAGCGAAACATCTAGAGGCCAGTCAGACATGAGGGGGGTGAGGTCCGTTCCATCGCTGATGGCGTGGCTCCTCCAACCACTGCGGCTCACCACGTGGCTTCCCACAGGAAAAGCCGGGTTTTTACTCTGGATCACCCTACACAAAAACAAACCCTGGTATAAGTTAAACAATCAAGTTAATTACAACAGTAATGTTTACTACAAGCGGTTGTGAAGTACTATGTTTGAAAAATTAAAGGGGATAAAAAAAAAAAAAAGAAACAAAAAAAAAACACTAGACTACAAACAGTATAAAGATGCTTTATTTTTGGCACCTATAAGAGTCTAAATCATTGATCTCTATTTATTCAGTGAATTGCTGATGGCCCAAAGAAAGTGAAGCCACCGGCCACCATCTTGGTGCTCCTCACTCCCACGGAAACGTGCAGTAAGAAGCCTACCTGTGTAGCATTTGGCTGCAAAAACAAGCAGATTGCCAGCTGTGGGAAGACGTTTCACAGGTAATTTCACAGTCAGTGGATGTGCTAACCAAGAAAATCCATATATACGCCGATATATCCTATAGTATAGTATGTAGTAACATTAGTCTGGCTATTTAGGACCGACTCGAAGACATTGACTGAGTTAGCCATTGACTTTGTGTCTAACATTTGAAAATAGAAAGTAGAGTAAATAGAACTAATTCACTGTGAAATGTCAATGTATTAATTCTTAAGTGGATGATGCTGTTGTTTTTGTAGTGTTTGTTGTATTTCTTATTTGAAAAAGTCACGTTACAGCTAAAACATTTTTAAAGGCTAATGCACAGACACAGAATAAAAGTATATGGCATCAGTCAAAATGTCAGGTCTCGAACTCAATGCTATTCCTGACATTTTGAATTGAAAAAGCTTCTAGGATGGGAAGCGAAAGTCTTCAACCTTGGAAACAAAGTCCAGTGGATTGCTTTTAATCTTAATTTTGTTGTTAGAAATTACGCAATATTCACACATTTCAGTTCAAACTAAAAAGAAACTAACAGAAGGCAAATGCAGGGAGAAGCAATGTTTGCTCTTCATCCGGCAAGAGATACATGCGATACAAGAAAAAAAACACTAATATTGCCACTACCATCTGGATAATGTATCTAGACCTCGGTGCAAAGCTGAGGTAAATTTTGAATTTCTGCACATCTAAAAGGATGTTTTTGTTGTTTGGTGTCCCTGATGAGCACATCAGCTATGCAGCAGATGCATTTTTTGTGCACAATGTGGTTCGCTTCAAAATGGGAAAAATGTAAAACATCTGGGATTTAAAACATAGTGCGGATCACAGAAAGTGTTCTTCCTGAGAACTTTCTCCTTGGAACTCATCCATTGAACATCCCCAATAGCAATGATTTCTATCTCTGAACACCCAGCCAGGAATGTTCAGGGTCTGCGCTTGTCGGCTCCTCGCTCATGTTGAATCAAAGGCTTTATAATTAACCACAGGTGCAGCCCGAGCCATTTCAGTAAATATCAGACATGCAAATCACATCATGAAGGATAAAAGAGCGTTCGCCGTTCCTGTTCCATTACAGTTGTTTTCCTCTTACTTTGCAACTTGAGTTCCGATCATCACATCCCCTTCCTTCATGTGGATACTGCTGAACGGCCTGCAAAACAACAGAAACAAATATTATAAACCCTTCTTTATCGAATGAAGACCGAACATGAATGTTCTCTAAAACTAGGACTCACCTCATGTATGGATCCACACTGAGAAAAACCGCCTCCAAAAGCACCTCTGGAAGAACAGAACAATTCAAGTGTAAAATCATTAAGAGAACAGTGTTAGAATACAGAGCCTACAAACTCCGTAAGCCTTGTCACATTTTGTCACGTCAAAATCAATATATATATCTTACTGGGACTTTAATAGAATAGCACAAAATATAACATATCATGTGAAGCTGAAGAAAAATGCATTGTTTTTTTTTTCAAACAACACAAATATAAGATATGTGGTATGTTTCATTTGTTGAACCCTGTTTGGTTCAGTCACTGAGATCAGCTGTTTTGGTTACATGTGTTGCTTATTCTTCATTACTAAATGATATGAGCTGATTCAGATATCGTCTGGACTTTGACTAACTTATTCTTGCACATGAATGATGGATTCATTTAAAGCTGCAGTGTGTCATATTCAGCGTCATCCACTGCTTCTCACCCTCCAACAAAACGCAGGCCGCCATGGTATAAGTGGCTTTACTGATATCTAATTTGTTGCAGTCACATGAGAGCGTGATGCTGATCTCCACAGTCACTAGTTTATCAGCTCTGATCTGTGACCTGCTCCTATGCAATAATAGTTATTTCTAAGGCAACGCGTGTGCACCCGTTTCTGTGCGCTCGTGTCAACTTTTGGCACTTTGAAGGCGTTACCCACCAGACAAAGCCACCCGCCTGTGATTGGCTACTTTTCAGCTGTTTCTCAATATGTGTACTTGTGCGTTCTCATGTGCTCGTGTACTCGTGAAACGTCATCAGCCTCAGTATTGGTACTGTTCCAATTCACAAGAACACAAGAACGGACAAAGTCGCCAGATGTTGTTCTCGCCCCTCCCTGTTTACCCAGCAAGCATCAGTGCAGACTTGTCCATTCTTCAGATTGACAGCTGTCCCAGCATGCACTGCGGCAGCAGCAGCTTTTAATGGAGCGCTTACAGAGCTCAGAGTATTAAGTTAAAAGTTCTCTTTTCTGTTGCTCAATAAAAGTACATTTTAAGATCATTTGAGGCGAGAAAAATATACTTTAAGCATCACTATATGGCCCATTTACAGATTTAATGCTTAATTTGAAAAATAAATTTCCGGAGCTGAGAGCAACCAGCAGCCTTCGAGGTAGGGATGCACGATATTGGGATTTTGGCCGATATCCGATATGCCGATATTTTAAAACTCATGTAGCTGATAACCGATATCGATACTGATGTTAAAGCTGGACAAAAATAAGTAGTCATTGAAAATAGCAGTTTTGTTATCCATTTCTTACACTTTGAAATATAATATACTCAAATATATTTTCATATGCTGATATCAACTTGATTTTAAAAAACGCGGTATCGAGCTATTTTACTTTCAAAATCTTGTGAAATTTCATCGTTCTGTTACAAACTCTCGCGATATTTTGCAAATTCTTGTGAGATTTTGTTACTAAAATAGATCGATACTGCGTCAATATATCAACATATAAAAATATGGCAAAATTTTGTGAATTTTCGGGGGATTTCGTAGCATAACGATGACATATAGCAATATTTCATTAGTAAAAGAAATTGATATGGTGTTTTTAAATGGCAATATATCAGCATATGAAGATATCGTGATATTTTAATGTATAATTATTTTTTCCCTCGTCTTTAGAAGTTTTTAAGTCTGTAAAAAAGAAGTTTTTGAGGAAGAAGAAGTAGTATTTTTTTTTTTTTTTTTTTTTTTTAAGACTTTAGAAACTCAGAAGCTGATCAAATATCGGGTTAAATATCGATGGGGTTGCCGATGTCCGATATTCAGTTTTAAGGCCGATACCGATAGGGGGCCGATTATATCGTGCATCCCTACTTCGAGGGTAACGGCTAATCCTAGCTCGTCTGCAGCAGCCCTCTCTAGGCATAGCCGTGTGAGAAGGACCTCTGGCTCTGATGGTGAGTTTTTTGTTTTATTTGGCAAAATGTTCATTTTGTTTGTGTTTATCTGACTGTGTTCATTATTATTCCCCCAATAAATTAAAAAGTTAGAATTTATAATTATCTAGAGACTATTAATAATAGGAGGTGAAATGCAGCTCCAGAGGAGCTGAGCTTGTGGTGACGTCACTAGAGGTGAGTATTGGCATGAGTGTTGCGATTCGATACATGTCGCGATACTTGGGTCATGATACGATATTACAGTATCACTATATATTGCCATATTTTCCCCAGCTATCAAATCAAATGATGAGATAAAACAGCAAGTGCTGTATATTTTCATAAGAAAATATTGATTGGGTATTATTATCCATGTTGTTTGGGGTTTTCTTCCACTGTGACTGCCTCAAATACAGATTTGGTTCTGCACGCACAGTTAAAGGGCTCCACAGCGCTTTCTGCCAGAGTGGTGGTGCAGAGGTAGCCCATTTTCCCATCAATGTTTTATGTAACCATATTTTTTTTAAATTGATACTAAGAAGTGAAAGATCGATATTATATTGGGCAGCCGAATATCACGATATATTGCCAAAACGATTATTTCCCACGCCCCTAGAAATCACGAGTACGCTTCTGTTCCAACTGACCCAGATTAATGCTGCATGCTCCTGTTCCCCCCACACTTTGCTGTGTTCTTCTCAAGAACATACTTGGTGAGGACACGAGACCGTACTCGTGAAATGAGAAACGGCCAGGAAATCCCGCCTCTCGAGGCTGTACTCTTCTTCATACTTGCAAAGCAACTTCAGGCTAAATGCTTCTCATCAAGAGTTGGAAGTTGGTAAGCAAAGTCCTTTTTAGATACAATATGGTCTGGGTAAATACTGGATTCTGATTGACTAAAACAGTTATAGGACATCATCAAAAAAAAAGTTCAGGTCAAATAGCATGATAGTTTCTGCTAGCTCAAACAGGGAGCAGGGAGGACAGTGTATGCTGTTACCTTGGCAACGTGTCACAACCCAAGATGCAGGATTTACTGAAAAGTAGCCAATCACAGGCATGTTTCTTTGTCCCGTGGGTAACACCTTCAAAGGGACACAAGTTGACTGCAGCATACAGAAACGGGTATAAACAATGGAGGCTGCTTGCATGTGAATATCAAACCACACGCGCAAGCAGAGAAGGAACAAGCACTCATGTGTGACATATTGAAATGATGGTCCTCTATTTACACATGCAACATGCTTTCAGTTTTTGTTTTTTACTGTGTTTGTTAATGTCATTTTAAAGGGAATTTTGAAGCTCTTTTTTTATTAACTCTCTTATTTGTTAATGTCACATATTACATGGAAAGGGTGACTAAAAACAATGCATAAAATATTGTTTAATTGACGATTGTTTTCAGTCTTATATATATAAGATGCCATATTTAAGATGTTTCCCACATAGTTCCTTTTGTTGTTTCGATTCCATCTGACCAGAGCAACCTCTCACACATGTTTGTTACCTTCCCTTCATGGCAAACCGCAGATAGGACTTATTTCATCATTGGTTGTCTTCTTGCCTGAGCCGTAGCTCTCTACAGCTCCTCCAAAGGTAACCTGGGCCTCTGGGCTGTTTAACCTTCTCCTTGCAAAGCAGCTACATCTTGCAATTGTTACATTTTTTTCCTTTTCATACAAGAGGCTGAAATGTTCTCCTTGAGATGATCAAAGCTTGACATAGTGTTTTGTAACCAACCCCTGCTTTAAACTATTCTATAACTTCCTCCCTGACAGTTTTCTTTGCTTTTCCAAGCATTTTGGATTTAAACCATGATTAAATTAAACACAGATTGAGTTAGTTTGATAGTAAGCATGACTGCTGAAGGCATTTGATGGCATTTTTATTTAATGGTATCAGAGTAAACAATATTATATTTTCCCTTTTAGTTTATCAATTATTTTTAACGTAAAAGGATGTGAAAAAGTAAGTTTTCTTGCCTCCATCTTTGGGTTCAGGCAGGTCCTCCACCCTGAGCTGGAAGTCGCTTTCCTTTGGGAAGCCATCAAAGTGTTTGGCCAGAATCCATGACTTTGCCTGAACCATGATGATTTATAAACTCAAGGCTGCAGGGAGAGAAAGAGCCACCAGATATGATTAAAGCAGGCAGGACATGTAGCATATGGAGGAATAATATAACCATTGAAAGGGAAAAAACAACCCATTGTACAACATGTGAAGTAATTCTCGATTTCTTTGCATTTAAATTCCATAAAGTTAGGCTTTCTTTTGTCAGTCTTTTAAAGTGAGATTGATGAGCCGTTCTTTGGGACTTCCTGAAGGTCTTTCCAATATTTAAAATCATCAGTTTAAAATAAATAAAAAAAAACAACTGTTTGGGCTGTTGATGCTTTTGTAATATTAGATTAGATTTACCAGAAAACCAGTCGTTTGGGTCATGACCTGACTCTGGTGCCATTTTGTAGCGGAAAGATTTGGAAACCTCTGTGATAAAGTCTGAGTAACATATACATTATTTATATACATACATATACATATATATACATATATATATATATATATATATATATATATATATATATATATATATATATATATATATATATATATATATACATACATACATACACACAGCATTGCACTTTTTACTTGAGCAAAAAAATGATAAAGTATCAGTACTCTTATTTAAGTAAAACTGGTTACTCCATACATTTTGAATAAACTCACTTAAAGGAAACAAGTTTGTTTTAAACAAATATGCACCATTAAGAGAAACACTTTCTTCTATTTTGTACTGGATGCCTATTGGTTAAATGTTATTTTCCATCTGCAGAGTCAGTTGGAAGGTGAGTTAAATATATGAAAGTATATTGTAATTTACCCTATTCTACACATTGTAACTGTTTTATACGTTAAAATATGTATTTTGATAAGTGTTCATTCCATCCAATTGTACAAATAGGAAACTGTATCTATATTATGCATATCCCTTAATAATTAGTTGGTTTTATTACACTATTCAGTTAAATATTAAACCAGTTGTGATGATTATGGGTGAGTAGATTAGTTACCAAACCCCTTTGGTTAATTACTTGTGTCATTTTTTTACCCTAGTCTACACACTGTAACTGTTTTGTATTATAACTGTTTTATACTTTAAAGTATGTATTTTGAAAAGTGTTCATTCCATCCAATTGCACAAATAGGAAACTGTATCTATATTATGCATATCCCTTAATATTCAGTTGGTTTTATTAAATTATTCAGTTAAATATTAAACCAGTTGTGATGATTATGGGTGAGTAGATCAGCTACCAAACCCCTTTGGTTACTTACTTGTGTCATTTTTTTAAATGTTAATTTTACTGCAGTAAACACATGAAGAAGTAGTGCTACCTTTACTTTAATAGTAAAATTGTTGGGAGCTGTTCTGATTTTAAAGAAAAGCATGGCTGCCATGTGGCTCCAACAGCTGTGAATTTAAGAAGCCTGAAGTAAACAGAATAAATGCAGGCATTAAAAAACAGGAAGATGCCAATGTTTCCGCGTACGGTTATAATAATACTGATGGAAAAAAAAAAACAAGCTGAAACAATGAAGAGCAACACTTAATATAAGTAAACAGACATGGAATCTAAACGAGCATTATTAACTTATTCTAAAACAGAAAAATTAATGTTCGCACTCAGTCGGACTGCTGTCTTTTTCGGTAGATCTCTGCAGAATGTCGTTTTTCGGGCTGAAAAACCACTCAGTGAATCTTGAGAAGTAAAACCAGCTTAAGTAAAAAAGGCGGAACGAACAAACGACTGGGAGGTCGGGAGAAACGCTTCCAGCGTGCGACGTGATTGGTCAATAGCTAACCCCAGCCAATAGCGTGCGACGTAGAACGCCCATGCTAAAGCTATCGTCCAATGATATCGTCGCAAGCCCAAGCTTAAAGAAAGTAAATAAATTTTTTTTCCATGGCATGTGTAAATGGTGGGAACTTTTTCTTTTTTAGTTCATGAGCAAGAAACAGGAAAAACCAGGTTAGGATTTGTTTGAGTGTGTTAAGAGTCATGTTATGATGGCTGGACTGTTGTTTTGGAACATCTCCAAGTAAACTAAAGTTTCTGTATTGACTTACTGATCTGTAGTGTTTACTTTATGGAAAATGATCCAACAGAGAAAGGTGGTGAACTGAGTCCTAGATGGGCTGGTTGATGGTTTAGGGCCAGACAAACCTGTGTGGTTTGATCCATTAGGTAAGCTGCTGTACCTCCACTAGCTTACAGTCTATTTTAACTTGGACTATGGAGCAACAGAAGAAGGTGAGCTGCCCTGATGAATTATGGCTTCTTATTTTATCAGATGTCTTTACAGGAAATCCCATAAAATGCACTATAGATAGAAAGCAGACTTTGGAAGGGACCAGCATTCCACAGAGAAGCCTTGATCTTGCAAGGATACGTGCCTACATATTGACTTTTCTATTATTAATATTTTTATTGGATTTTATAACATATACAGATGCACACACAACACGAGAACATCTTGCAACTAAAATGTATACCATAAAATCCATAAAAAAATAACGAAAAAAAAGACAATATTTAGATTACCCAAAATATTACCATCAATGACAATAAAAAAAAAATCAGCAAACATTCTAACAAAGAAAAGCAATGATAGCTTAACAAGTAAGACAAATCAGTAAAAAAAAAAAATTATTAAAAGAGGTAGTTAGAGCAGCTTGTGCTCTGAGAAGGTTGCAAACACCCGGTTCGATCCCCACATCCTGCACTCTGGGTCCTTGAGCAAGAGCCTTAACCCCACACTGCTCCCTGGGTGCTGCACAATGGCAGCCAACTGCTCCCCAAGGGGATGAGTTAAATGCAGTTAAATGCAGAGAGGGATTTTCTCCATTGTGAGATTAAAGAAATGAATAAACTACAAGGGAGTAGCAGCCTAGTGGTTAGGGCATATCCTGAGGTTCTGAGTTCCAGCCCCACTCCCACAGACTGCCACTCTGGGTCCCTGAGCAAGAGTCCACACTGCTCCCTGGGCGCCCTGTGATGGAAGCCCACTGCTCCCACAAGGGGATGGGTTAAATGCAGAGAGTTCATTTTCATTCCTCTTTAACCATTTAATGACAGTAAAGCGCTGGAAAAACAAAACAAAAAAACAGGCCATTGACATTAATTATTCAACATGGAGCTTCTCAACATATAGTAGGAATGGTTGCCACAGCTGTTTAAATCTTCTTTCCGAGCCTTGAGCTATATATCTTAGTTGTTTCACTTTAAGATAAGCCACTATGTCCACCACTCACTGCCTCTTCCACCTTAGTAAAATAGTCTGTTGTGCAAGAAGTGTAGCAAAGGCCATCCAACAGTCCGTTGGAACCACACCTAATAAGGCTGTGACAGGGTTTGGTTGAATTGTTATTTTCCACTCTGCAGTGATTTTTTTCAAAAATATCCTCCCAAAAGACTTTCAGCCTTGGACAGCCCCAAAACATATGGCTGAGGGTACCAGGTCACATTTACGCCAAGGACAGTTTTCTGCATATTGACTTAGAAATGGGATTCCTGGATGGCTGTTGTCTCTTTCAGTAGAGTGATGCTTCCTGCAACAGACCAGAACACACCCAGAAATGTTTTAAGGAGCAGAATATCTTTGAAGAGTTTAATCTGACCTTTACTATCCAGATATCAATCAAAACTTCAGTTTTGTGAAGATCTTTTTTTGTTTTGCTTCTGTGTTACATTGACATCAATGCAAAACATTTCACATCCTCCTATCTGAAGTGTTCCTCTATACCCATACTTATATCTGTCCTCTCCTGCTTTAACCAGGACAGGTCTCATAGAGACACCCAGATTTGACTCTGCCTAGACCTCCTTCAGCTCCTCTGGGGAAACTGTAAGAAAATAACTTAGTGTTAATATGGCAATAATTTAAAAACAAGGTAGTTGAGTTGCCAGGACTTATTCCTTCAAGTTGATTATTGTAAAAGGTGAAAGTTCAGCTAAATTTTGTATTTTTTTTTTTTGTATAATGCAGGAAAACCAACTACTGGAGTTAGACTTTGAGTTAGAGACTTAGTGTTATTTTAATAATCAATTTTTGTCATGATTGGCTTAAGAGACTTAACCCACATGCAGAACATCACTGGAAGCAGAGTAAAAGTTTAACAGAGTTTATTGAAAGGTTCACAGAGAAATCATGAACTGGTTCTGGCACAGGTCCGGGACTGGAATTACTGATGTCTGCAGAGATGGATAGTTTGATTAGCCAGGCAGTCAGATGGTTTGTCGAGTGAGTTAATTCTGAAAATACCTTGAAGAGGTTCTGACAGATCCTTTGTGAGGGAGGGAACCGGTTGGGTCCAGAGACTGTAGATTCAGCAGAGAGCTCAGCAGCAGCAGCGTCTAGCTTCTGGCTTTTGAGTTTCAGACCTTTACTTGAGTTTATAGCTCTCCCTTGAGAGCCGTTGGTGAAGTCCAGACCGAAATCTTCAGGCAGGTTTACAGGCAAAGCTCATCCAGAGCTTCAGACTTCAGTCGGGTTTTCTGTGAGCAAGAAGACAGAGGCAGGTTGGAATCAAGTTTCTCTCTAGAGGCAACTAAGATTCTTAAGATTAAGAGAGGCTCAGGTTCACTAACCAAACTTGGTCAACACTGCGGCGTTGAAGGAAGGTCTGACTGCTGCTTATGAAGGAGGTCTCCTGATGGGCTGATGATCCTCAGGTGTGCTGAGGGCTCCAGCCCAGGAGACCCACAGCGCTCTCTGCTGGAGAAAGGTGGTAGATCTCCAGATCCCAAAAGTATCCCCCCCTCAACGACCGCCTCTTGGCGGTCCCGAGGACGTGGACGGGAGGGACTTCTCATAATCCTCGATGAGAGACGGATCGAGGATAAAAGAGCCAGGAACCCAGGTGCGGTCCTCCGGACCGTAGCCCTCCCAGTCGATGAGGTACTGCCAGCCGCGACCTCGCCGACGGGAGTCCACGATCTGGCGAACAGTGAAGGCCGGATGGCCATCAATGTCCAGGGCGGGTGGAGGGGAGTCGGAAGGTGGGCACAAAGAGCTGGTAATGACCGGTTTGACCTGTGAGACGTGGAAAGTTGGGTGGATGCGTAGGGACGGTGGCAGGTGCAGGCGGACAGCAGAGGGATTAATGATCTGGGCTATTTTGTACGGATTGATGAATCGTGGCGAGAGTTTTTTTGACATGGCCTTGAGTGGAATGTCACGTGTCGACAACCATACCTCTTGCCCAGGGGTATAGTCAGGAGCAGGGCGTCGTTTGGAGTCGGCGAATCTCTTAGAAGAGGCAGATGAACGGTTGAGGGTGGTGATGATGTCGTTCCAAATGCGATGACAGCGGCGGATGTGGTGGTGGACTGACCTAACTGTTATCTCTCTCTCGTCTGCGGGGAAAAGTGGAGGCTGATAACCTATGGAGACTTGAAAAGGAGATAAACCGGTTGAAGCTGATCTTTGTGAATTGTGTGCGTATTCGATCCATGTCAGAAACTGACTCCAGTCAGTCGGATTATTTGAGGTTAGGCAGCGGAGAGTGGACTCAAGCTGTTGATTCACCTCTCCGTCTGCCCATTTGTCTCTGGATGGTAACCAGAGGTGAGGGAGGACTTGCAATTGAGAGCAGAACAAAAGGCTTTCCAGACCTGTGAGATGAACTGGGGACCACGATCTGAGAGGATCTCTTGGGGTATGCCATGAAGACGGAAGACATGTTTCACAAGGAGTTGGGCGGTCTGGAATGCAGTGGGTAGTTTCCTGAGGGGAATCAAATGACAGGCCTTGGAGAAACGATCAACAATGTTTAGGATAGTGGACATACCTCTGGAAATTGGAAGACCGGTAACAAAATCGACAGCGATGTGGGACCATGGACGAGTTGGAACAGGTAGAGGACGCAACAGCTCAGAAGGTGGTTGGTGAGTGGTTTTGTTTCTGGCACAGATGGGACAAGCCAGCACGTACTCCTTCACGTCCTTGTAAAGGGACGGCCACCAAAAGCGTCTTGTAATGAGTGTGATTGTTCTGCTCACACCAGGATGGGCTGAGAACTTTGCTGCGTGCATCCAATGGATGAGGCGGGATCTAACAGAAGATGGAACATAGGTTTTGTTTGGAGGTCCGTTACCTGGGTCAGGTTCAGAGGCCAGGGCTAAGTTGATGAAATCAGTGATCTCCCAGGAAACGGCTCCAACCGTGCATGAGGCAGGGAGAACAGGCTCGGGTGTCTCAGGTTGATCAGAGGAGTGCAGACGAGAGAGAGAGTCAGGCTTGACGTTTTTGGAACCGGGTCTGTAAGAGATGATGAGATTGAAGCGAGAAAAGAACAGAGACCATCTAGAGTGACGTGAGTTGGATCTCTTTGCTGATTGGAGATAAGCCAGGTTTTTGTGGTCTGTCCAAACCAATACTGGATGCTCGGCGCCCTCGAGCCAATGTCTCCATTCTTCCAAGGCGAGTTTAATGGCAAGAAGTTCTCTGTCTCCGACATCATAATTTTGTTCTGCCGGAGATAGTCTGCGTGAAAAGAATGCACAGGGGTGAGTTTTCTGGTCGGAGTCTGATTGCTGCGATAATACAGCTCCTACACCGGAGTCAGATGCATCCACCTCTAAGACAAACTGCTTAGAGGGGTCGGGCTGGATCAGGATGGGTGCGCTGGAAAACAGAGTCACATGCTACGTTCAGACCGGACGCTGCAAAAGCAGCAAAATCGCGTCTGCTGCTTCATTTTTGCTGCTTGTACCAGTGAGTTCTGACGCGCGGCCGAAGCAGCTTTGCTGCTCTGGCTGCACGGTGCA